GCTGCTGCCGGAGGGGGCCGAGTGGCTGGGTCCGAGGCTCCAAGTAGCTGCTCCCAGACCACAGCATTTTTAAATTGCTGCCTGCGCCCCGGTAGCAGCTGCATGGAACTTGGCTGGGGCTCTGTCCCCGCCTCCCACCCTGGGGTGCACTTGGGCTCTTCTGCCCTCCCCCAAGCATGCTCGGGCTCGCTGCCCCCGTGCGCTGTCGCGCTCTCTTCCCTGCATCCCTCCCCACGCTGCTGGGGAAGTGGCAAAGTCTGGTCTGGTGGAGAAGGTTGAGGTTTCTACAACCCTCCTTCCCGCCGTACCAGCAGGAAGCCTGACCTGGTGCTGCAGCTGCGCTGAGATCCCTGCTGCATAGAGCGGGGGAGGAAGGAACTGAGCTCCCTCTCCTGCCCCCCTGCTGGGGGAACAAGAGCGTTCTGCTTGGAGGTTTTCCCTGCTGCAGCAGGGTGCCAAGCCAGGTAAGCGTCCCCCTCATCCCCAGACCCTGTAACCAAATCCCCCCCACTCACTCGCCTCCTTCTGCCAAGATCCCACATTCCCAGCTTGCTCTGACACCCTGCTCCATATATAAGACTGTTATTAGGGGTTCCATGAAATTCTTTTGAGTTTAAAAGGGTTCTGTGGCCAAATAAAATTGGAAAACCCTGGAGTAGAGGGTTGAGGAGCAACCTCAACAGAGCTGTTCCTTCTTCACTGGTGCACATGGCCAGGGGGTAAGTAGGACGTAACTGTAAGTGATGGAACATTGGCTGTGCTCCCAACACTCCAGCACATGCTATGCTTTGTATAGTCAGCAGAGCAGTGGGCTATCTGGGAAGGAGATTGTAACTCTACAAGTCACAAACTATTTCTGCTTTTGAGATAGTAAAACAATCCACTCCTCTTACTCAGGGCTTGTGTCAAAGCCACCATTACTTTTTAGATTGGGGAGCATTGATCCAAGTGAGAAATGCATTGCTGTCTATTATGTATCATAACATTATAGGCAAATAACAGTTATTGAGTGGTTGCATGGGTTCTGGAAGATTGTGACTCTAATGTGTCTGTCACAATTCAGTGATCCCTGTGGCTAACAGTTTATCAATATATTTTAGGAGTATACAAATACACTTTTTTTTATGTAAGACAAATATGAATAGTTGCTTAGATATGTGCGGCCTTAGTAGAAAGTGTCTGAGCACGCAGCTACATGAAGAAAGCCAGTGGAGAATTTCTGTCTGTGTGGATTATTTTAAAAGAAGCCTTTTATATGTGGTGAAACACCAGCTGTAGTCAGCCTGGATTCCCATGATAACCAGAGACAAAGCTGCCTGGAAAGGAAAGCTTATTATTAAATAGCTAAGGCAGTTGTCAAACCAGGCCCAAAATGAATCATTCATGGGCACTTCACAAATGGAAACAATGATTAATTAGCAATTGTTGACACATTAGTTCAAGCAGAAAGTAACAGCAATGTAGTAAAATCTTTTTGAATGAGCTGCATTTGCTATAGCTCAAAGCAGAAATAACCAATTCAATTGCTGTTTAAACCATTTTGTGTTAAGTTCTGTGAAAGTGGTTGCATGCATGCTTATTTCAAATATAACTTGCAATGATTATGATGGACCATATATTGGTGGGAGAGCTGATGTCTTCCATGAGCTTTTTCTTCTTGAATATCATTATAAACTACTGGAAATCTGACCAAAGTAGGAATTTTAGATTATGAAAAGCAGTTTTAAAAGCCAAACAGACCATTGATGTCTTCTGGAATATGTTGTGTTCAATTTGGTATAATGGATTAGCTAGTTTTAGCCCTTTCTTTTTTTGATTAAATCACATTTGACTAACAGACATTTTGCTTACAGAAAGTTACACTTGTGAAAAGAGCACTCTTTCAACTACTTTACTGCTTGAGGACAATGTCTAGTGAATCTTTGACATACAGGAAATATACCTCACTGATTATAGACAGAGAGTGAGACAGTCCAGCAACTCTGGCAATACACTAGTTCTGCAGGAGATGCTCTGCCCTAAAAACAGAATTCCAGGAATAAAACTGAAGTCCCACAGAAAGATAATTCTTGCAGGCCAATTGCAATATAAGGGCTACAGAGTTGTGGATAAACACATGCACAATATACAGAAATAAACTGAAATAATGGCTGTGTTTTAAAATCTTTGCAGGATCTTGGAATTACAAGACACTGGAGACTTGGATGTACTCAAACAGAAATGGTGGCCACGAATGGGACGTTGTGATCTGAACAGTCACACCAATGCACAGACAGATGGCAAGGCACTGAAGCTTCACAGTTTTGCAGGAGTCTTCTGCATTTTAGCAGTAGGCCTTCTTCTTGCATGTTTGGTGGCAGCGCTGGAGTTGTGGTGGAACAGCAACCGTTGTCATCAAGAAACTCCAAAAGAGGTCCATAACTTTTATTCTTATCACAATTAACAGTAGAAAACACAAGATACAGAGAACAAATGGAAGCTGTGGGATTTTAGGTGCTCTCATACAAATGCAGTCACTTTATTTTGATTGGAGATACTAAATTATTACATGAAGTTTATGATTTTTTTAAAATGTGACTTTAATGGAAGGTGCCAAATTGACAGCCCTGGAGACTCAAGTCATCTATTTATTTATAGAGCAATTACTGCATGGGTACCAGCAATGCAAACTTCCCTACAGTATCCCACCCATGTGTGTCAACCCTGACCTGGAGAGACTGGCTTTAGGAATAAGAGAATAGCTGAGATACCACACCCTTGGCCTCTCTGCTAAGAGTAGCAGCAAAGATAATAATTAGCACCAACTGAGGTTTTTATCATTTGGACCTTCGTGGGCTGTGTTTATTGGGCTGTGATAACTAGGTCAATCTACACAACTGCCATCAGATATCAACAATTTTTTATTACAACCAACCTAGATCAAATTAGAACAGGTGACTAAAACTAGGGGATAAGTTTTAATTAAGATAAGCAACTTCAGCTACATTAATTACGTAGCTGGAGTCAAAGTATCTTAATTCGAATTTTGGCACCATGCACAGTGCGGGAGTTGACAGGAGCACACTCTCCCTTCAACTTCGCCTACTTCTTGTAGGAGCAGGTCTACCAGTTTCGACGGGAGCACCTCCCAGTTCAAATTAGCATGTCTTCACTAGACCCATTAATTTGAAACCTCGGAAGATTGACTTTGATTTGCAGCTTTGATCTTTCCTGTAGTGTAGACAGGGCCTTAGTGATTAAAAGTTAATTATCCCAGTAGTAATACAAGCAAGCCACAAAGTCACCAACACAGTTTAACACCTTTTTTTGGGGGGGAGGGCTTTTATGTTTATTTTTTTAAAATCTTTTCTGAACAAATGCCCTTAATATAAAATATTTTATGTAGAAAAATCCATTTTAAATTACTTGTTTGCAAACATTTTCTTGCAACAGTACAAATTATTAGACAATAATATTATGGTAGACTAAGCAATCCATATGCAGATCTAAGCGTGTATCTACTTGCATCAATTAAAAAGTTTAACAAGCTAATCTCTGGGAATTTTTTAAACACTTGCTGATTCCTACATCTTGAACAATTATTTAAGTAACTAATAGGAGAATCACCGCTGTAAAAGAATACAAAACCCATTAATTCCATCCTTAATTTCTAGGGTTGTGGGGAGTATTACAATAATTGACGTACCTATCACAATCAGGCTATATGGAATTATGAAAATACATGTTACAGTCTGTAATGTTATCAAATATTTATCATTAAGATTCCATTCTCCGTGTTCCCTCTTCATACATTTTAATTCATCCATAAAGTATTTAGTGGTAAACATCCATATCATGCTTCTGGGGCAAACTTTGTTGCATACAGATCCATGACGAATGTTGCTGAAAGGTTGCATTTTGGTAACAGACATTTTGAATCCATTTTGCTGGGGTTTGCTGTAGAGAATGCATACTGAGGATAAATAGCTTTGCCTACAATGACAGATGCATTCATATATATATCTATTAAGCAAGGCTTTAGCCTTAGTACACTGTACATGTCATTCCCCCTAGAACTGTAGAGGCCTACTCCACAATAACATTGCTAATTAAGGCCAATAATTTGTAAGGAACTCCACATAAGAGAACCTCTTCATCTTTGAGGAATATCTGGCAGATTCATGGAACAAAGGTGGTAACTATTCGAAGTTCACTAACATTAGCCATGTTTCAGTATAACATAGTTTGGCTGTATTCTCCTTTCAATGCTCAGGTGTCCAATGCTTAAATTTTAGTAGACTTAAAGGAGCAGATACCCCAAATTTACGAAAAGGTCAAGTGAGTATTAGAAAAGGCCAGTTGCTGATTTAATTCAAGCTATCCAATCTCAATTTTATTTCTATTTCCCATACCTTGGGCAAGGCTCTGTCTCTCTGGGTATGTCTACACTACCCCGCTAGTTCGAACTAGCGGGGTAATGTAGGCATACTGCAATTGCAAATGAAGCCCGGGATTTGAATTTCCCGGGCTTCATTTGCATAAGCGGGGCGTCGCCATTTTTAAATCCCCGCTCGTTTGAACCCTCATTCCACGAGGAGTAACGGTAGTTCGAACTAGGAAGCCTAGTTCGAACTACCTAGTTCGTGCCGCGTGTAGCCGCGCAGCAAGGGGTTCGAACGAGCGGGGATTTAAAAATGGCGGCGCCCCGCTTATGCAAATGAAGCCCGGGAAATTCAAATCCCGGGCTTCATTTGCAATTGCGGTATGCCTACATTACCCCGCTAGTTCGAACTAGCGGGGTAGTGTAGACATACCCTCTGATCTTTAATGTTCTGCTTCCCTCTATTTTTTTTCTTTTTCTGTGTCCTTTGACTGTGATTCTTATAGCTTTCATCATTCCCCTCTCCCACTTTTCTTAATCAGAAATACAATGCCTTAGGCTTTTACTGTCTTAAATTATGACTGCCCTTAACTTTCTGTCTTGGAATGCTCAGGTTCTTAGCATCCCCACACAAAAATCTCTATAATACTTCAATAGACTAAAAAAATGGTACAACTTTTCTTAGCAACGATCACTCATTGGGAAATAAGCAGATGTATGGGAGTAAATCGCTTTAAGTCTGAGCCAAAATCAGTTCCATGATCAGAGTAAACAAGACAAACTAAACTAATACAAGACACCAGAAAACAGGTCAAGGAAGTGAGGGGATGTGTGGAGAAACTGGGAAAGAGAACAAGGAGAGTCCTATAAGATGTAAATTTTAATTTCAGTGAAGAGAGGGTGCTGATGGACAAAAGAAATGGAAAACTTGTTCGGGTATAAGGGGAAGAATGGAGGAAGACACAAAATTGGGAATAGGAGAAGAAGATGAAGGAAGCAGTAATGAAAGGTCTTGGAGAATTTAAAGGACCAGGAAGAGGGGAAAGTGATCAGGAATAGGCAACATGAATTCACCAAGGACAAGTCATGTCTGACCAATCTGTTAGCTTTTATGATGAGGTAACTGGCTCTGTCAACATGGGGAAGCCAGTGGATGTGATATAACTTGACTTTAGCAAAGCTTTTGATGCAGTCTCCCACAATGTTCTTGCCAGCAAATTAAGGAAGTATGGATGGGATAAATGGACTGTAAGGTAGATAAAAAGCTGGCTAAATTGTTGGGCCTAACGGGTAGTGATCAATAGCTCAATGTCAGGTTGGTTGGTGGTTGGTTTCATGTGGAGTGCCCCAAGGATTGGTTCTAGGGCCAGATTTGTTCCACATCGTTATTAATGACATGGATGAGGGGATGGATTGCACCCTCAGCAAGTTTGCAGATAATACTAAGCTAGGGGGAGAGGCAGATACCTTGGAGGGGAGGGATAGGGTCCAGAGTGACCTAGACAAATTGGAGGATTGGGCCAAAAGAAATCTGATAAGGTTCAACAAGGACAAGTGCAGAATCCTCCACTTGGGACTAAAGAATCTGAAGCTCTGTTACAGGCTGGGGACCAACTGGCTAGGTGCAGTTCAGCAGAAAAGGACCCGGGCATTATTGTGGATGAGAAGCTGGATATGAGTGGACAGTGTGCCCTTGTAGCCAGAAGGCTAATGGCATATTGGATTGCATTAGGAGGAGCATTTCCAGCAGATCTAGAGAAGTGATTATTCCCTTTTATTGGTGAGACCACATCTAGAGTATTGTGTCCAGTTCTGGACACCCCACTATAGAAAGGATGTGGATGCATTGTAGAGGGTCCAGGGGAGGGCAACTAAGATGATTAGGGGACTGGAGCATATGACCTATAATGAGGCTGAGGGGGTTGGGCTTATTTAGTCTGCAGAAGAGAAGAGTGAGGAGGGATTTGATAGCAGCCTTCAACTTCCTGAAGGGAAATTCCATTGTGGATGGAGAGAGGCTGTTCTCAGGAGTGATGGATGGCAGAGCAAGGAGCAATGGTCTCAAGTTACTGTGGGGAAGGTCTAGGTTGGATATTAGGAAAAAGTATTTCACTGGGAGGGTGATGAAGTACTGGAATGGGTTCCCTAGGGAGGTGATGGAATCTCCATCCCTAGAGATTTTTAAATCTCGGCTTGACAAAGTCCTAGCTGGGATGGTTTAGTTAGGATTGGTCCTGCTTTGGACAGGGGGCTGGACTAAATGACTCCTGAGGTCTCTTCCAGCCCTATGATTCTATGATTCTATGAGCTAAGAGGAAATGAAAATAGTGATTATGAAAGGACCTGAGGAAGAGAACAAATAACTTGATATGATGCGTTAAAATGTGCGAAGCCAGTAAACTAGTTCAAGGAGATGGCATAAAAAGGTTAGAGCAACCAGAGAGGAAGGTGACTTTAGCAGGCAGATAGGTACACTAATGAGAAGCATGATATAATTACCAGATGGATTAAATAGAGGCAGCATTTTGGATTCTCTAGAGCTGAAGTGAAATGTAGGATTACTGATAAGGAATAGGTCCTGTGTTCATAGTGGGCACATGTTAACGTTATTTAACAAATTCAGAGCAACTATCAAGGATAGCTCTCCGGAACAGTTACCTTGTAACTGTGCTCATCCGCTTAAGGGATGGTATCTCAGGTGCGGGACTCCGACCAGTGTCTAATCACCTGGATCTAATCTCAGAGAAGGATGGACGCGTAAAATAAGACTTGACAATTAAATCAAGTTCAACAACAGGACTATATTATTTTACAACATAATTTAACAAACATATATCGAATGAAGAATTGGAAGGGCTGTCCCCCCAATGTTCCCTATGCCTACTCACAGAGTCAGCGGTGCGGAGATGATAGAGGTGTTGCTAGTGACCTCAAGCCTCTGGCTAATAGGAAGCCTCGGGCGAGGAACAACTAGGCATCCCTTGACGGATGAGCCCAATGCTTGGTGACCTCAAGCCTCTGGCTAATCGGAAGCCTCGGGCGAGGAACAGCCA